TCCATTTTGGCTTCGCACCTACCGTCTGTTTATCATCTATCCACTTGTCGATCAACTTTTAGTTTGCTTTACATCACTCTGAAGTATTTAACTGTGTAAAATTGCCTCACCCAGTTTTTCATATGCATGTTTACTAATTGACTGTGGACATTCAGTTTGTGCTCTTACTGAATCAGAATTTCACGTTTAAAGTCTGAGCTTAATATAGATTTTCACGAAAAATACATATCTACTCAAATCAATAATCGGAATTTATATAAGACCTTAAGTTGTTGCTAAACTGAAGAGGACTGTAGGTAATACAATATGTAGGAAATGGAAGCAATTCCCAGGTGACTCTAAACAGACTTATCTAAATATTGTGATTTCGAATTGTATTTTTGAACTGATTGTGCAGTTAAGTGGGTTTAGAAGTCAGATTTCATCACTAACTGGTCTTGACAGTTGATTTTCTCCAGGTTTCGAGAAAGAAGAAAAATAATATCTTCTACAATAATAGGTCCTATATTTTTTCACGACTTATCTGGAGTTTAGAATGGAAGTGTATGAAAACAAGGCAGATATCAGATATGATGGTATATACTTTGACTCGATGCTACCTCCTGAACTGATATTGAAACACAGGTAGACTTGTAGTTGTATTTCTGGAGTATAAGACTGCATTTGATTGCATTGATTTAAGAGCCTGTGCCAGTGCTGGGTAGTTTACAAATAATTCGTCTTATTGAGAGCTATTCACTCAGACACTCGTAGCTGTAATCTGGTTTCAGGAGATATCTGGTCAGTTGTGTACATTGAGTAGAATCCTTCAAAATATCGCGTCTTCTTCTTTTTTTATATCTTAGATGTACTTTTTATTCTTTTGACTTGACGGGAATAAATGTCGTCTAAGGCTGTTTTATTGACTTCAGACATTCATATGACTAAATCGTGTTAGGTATGAGAGCCAACGAGGTACAACGTTTTCTGAATAGTGAGCGGCTACGCAAAATTGTTTAGGATATTGTTTTTTTTTTAACTTCTACATACAAATTGTTGTTTCAGGATTGGTTTATAATGAGATGCTTCGTCTGATGCATTTCTATAGAAAGTTCAACTTTTGATCTTTTCGTGTATTCAGCAGATCATAGATGGGATGTTGTGAACTGTTTTATAATTTACAAAAAACTGTATTAACATTTTATTCAGTTGCATAGAAATGATTCATTCGAGCGAAATGTTCAAAAATAATCTTTCCGATTTCTCATTGTTTCGTAACTTTTCCAGTTAGTTGTAAATATTCTTTTAGGTTTTGTGTGTGGTGTTACATTTAGGTTAATATATTTACTTTAAATGCCATAACTATGAAAGTTGTTTCAGTTGAATCTATACAAGAAAATCTTTTATGATTTGCTTTCAAAAGTAGGAGTAACTACATCAGCAAATAATACTCGTCGGAGTAAAAATAAACTATTTTGTTGCTTTCATATTGACTACTGTAATTATAGTTACTAAAAGTTTATGTTTTACTCTATTGGAGGAGGATGATGCTTTCACTTCTTTTTTTTTTGTTACTGAGATATTCTCAAACTTAGTTACCTATTTCTTGACATACTTTCAGTTGATAATATCTACTCAGTCCTCACTGACTACTAATAAAACTTGATTGATCTTTATACATGAAAAAGTTAAAATTTAATTTCACCCAGATTCGTGTATTCACTAACGTGAAGTAAGTAATATTTACTTGTTAGTGAGACTATTTGAAATGAATTGCTTTTAGCGAACTACTCTTAGTGTAATTGACTGATAATCGAAGTCAAAACGAATACCTAAGTAGGTTACCAATGAAATTCAAATTAGTAGCCTTCAGTTCTGCTTAGTGTGTGTGACTTAAGGTAGGTTCCATACTGTTGGTTAAGTCCTTACTCAGTAGTAGTTGTTTAATGATACTTTTAATTTCCCTTTGCTATACTAGGTCAAAATTCTTGACCTCTGTTAAAAAATGTTGCCATATTGTGGTCTACTTGGCAACTAGAAGTGGAATCCACGACACGCGTTTCGTTCCATTTGGAACTCGTCAGCTAGATATACCTGAACTCTAGTGAGTAATGTTGTTGTCACTAAGACGAACTCACTACTCATCGCTTCGAACACCAAAGCGTAATCCACTGGGCACGAGAGCTACCACTTACACATATATTATTTACGTGTACCTGTTAGTTTTGGTGTCATTTGTTCTACATCGTCCAAATGTTCCCAGTGACTTGACCTCTGATTAATACTTTCATAGGAATGAATCAGTTTTGTTAAAAATAGGTTGATATATGTCCATGTGTCGATTTCAGGTTGATATTCATCATGGACTGACATCAGTTGGAGGAACATTGGAAACCTAGGAGTACTGAACAGCTCTTTTGTCCCAGTATGGGACTCCTCAGCAGTGGATGCCTATGACCCCGCCACAGGGTCGAACTTAGGACCTTCAGGTTTGGCGGCCAATACGTTATCACTGAGCTACTTGGTTGGCACTCATTGTCCACATTTCCTATTTCTGTCAGTTCATGACATAATGCCACCTCCATCCATATATTCTGTTTTGATACTGTCGGTTTTTTTAAACAATCACAGTCAATTTTTTCTACTGTTTATTCTCAAACCCCTACTAACTTAAGTAGTGATAAATATTAGAAAAATTCCAGGCAAACGTATGTGTGTGTTCTTGTCTGTAAAAAATGTTTCTATACAACTGTATTCCTTCATTATTATCATTAGTATTGTTAGTATATTTGTGTGTTTGTAAATGATTGAATATTGTTCACCAATTAAAAAAAAACATAAGTTAACAAGTTGCTAACATCAAAATAACGCCCTTCTCCTTGATGGATGACCAGTTAGCTGAAATAAATTTCAGAAATATGAGAACAATATGTGTTGATTTACCCTTTTACATGTTAACATAAGCCTACTATATAGTATGCCGTATTTAATGATAATATTTAGCCATGATAAAGTCGAGCAATTGTACCGATGACAACAGTGACATCAGCAAAGTAGGAAACACTAATGCTCTCGATCCTACACGATAAGTGATTATGATATCTGCTTCCTTGATACTCGTAAAGCCAATAACTTGAATGTTGAAGGAGAAGAATTTGAATCTCAAATTCACCAAAAGTTCCATTTAGGTGAGATACACGATGATTGGTATTCCAGTTGAACACCCGATGGTTACTAGCTAATGCTTTTTCAGCGATTTCTTTCGTATACTTGAATTATCACTTATTATCGCTTCAACAGTTAGTAGTAGTTCTATGACCAACAAGTTTAGGTGACCAAGTGATATATGTTGTCATGATTATTGTTTTCGAATTATAAAGACCCGAATGTATATATTTACGTACAACTATTGATGATTGGTGTCATAGTGAAACCTAGTAAGCATTTAATTCTTCTAACTCAGTATAGTGTGCTTAGTCAGTAGTCTTCTATAGGTTTGAGTACTAATGTGGTACATATTTCTTATCACCTTTATTGATCATCCTTGAATGTAAACACCAGTATATCAACGTAGATTATATGGAATAGTCTAATTACCAGTCAGTGGGTTGTTCTGACTTTTGAATTCAAGCCAGTTACAATTAGGATGAAGTGATCTAGCTGGGCAGTTAATGCAATGACAATAGTAAATGTTACTTGGTACCAGATATACTTAATCGGCTTTAAAAGTGATCATCATATGGTCTTTAATTTCACAGTGTTTTCTTTACTAGTTTCATAGTTGTTTATTGCACAAGATTAACGTATACAGTGCTCAAGATTGAATTTGAGGTGACATTCTTATTATGAAGTAAATATTGGCTACCTGTTGATAGATGTATTCTAATCTTCCCGTTAAATTCTATACGTTTTCTGCTGTTTACTATAAAGTCGAATCAATCAAATATGTGTTTCAGGATTATATTAAGTTTTGTTAACATCACACCTTTTTGTTTGGCTAGGTTTACTAAATTGACCTCTCTTGGATTCCTGTATCACTACATCGTGGCTAGCCTAATTCTTTTCTAATATTTTTAAGTGTATTTTATTCTGTCCACTTATACATACTGATCTCTGTTCAAGGGGCTGTGGCTCAGTGATTTAGGAAGATGACTACCAACCATTGGGTCATGGGTTCGATCCCTACTCTGCCTACTGAAGTTTTGGCAGCCAGGTAGCATCACTAACTTCCACACAATAGGTGTGACTCGTTGCCTGCTGCGCAGATGTGCACAAGGTAACTGAGTACGCTTTGTTTTAATCTCTGCCACTGCATTGTGGAAACGCGTTTTTAAAAAGTTATTATTATTCCAGACGGATGCTTTTCTGAACTTACGATCCGCCACCTAGCATCACTATTAAGTTTAAAATTACCAGAGAAACTACGTTTAATAATAATTAAGGGATCTTGTTTTTCCTTGCTTTTTTATCTAGTTTCTACTTGAAGGCTGTGAATAGGATTTTCCAAGGTGGGATAGGAGGTAGGAGGCGGTTAAATTGTGAAACTAATTTCACACTTTTTTACTTTCAGCTTTTTTCCAGTTATTGTATCTTCATGATTGATAGTAACCTTCCAATCATTCTACTTTTATGTGTTCATTAAGTGGCGCAGTATTTTGGAGGATGACATCTATAATTTTTGAAAGGAATTTTCCAATCAAAAACATCAAATTATTGTACTCATATTTGATTGTAGAAGATGATTTTTCTGTATTAAGCACTTTTCTAAGCAAGAAAATATCTATCTGTGAGTAGTATCCCAGTAGCCCGATGCAATAAGAAAACCGAATATTTAAGCGTTTTTGACAACCGATGGTCTTGAAGAAGTTTCACTCTCTCTTCATCAAACGCTGTTGACCTTAAACGGAAACCATCCTTCGATGAAAAACTGTTATATTTCCTTCATGTGGTCGCTTTATGTTTTATACATTTCTTATCCTAATTCATATTTTCCTCATTTCGTATTTTTTTTTAAAATTTAGTGAAAAGGACCAATATTCTCAGTCAAAAATCTCATCTAAAGAATGTTTCGATCCTGAAGATCTGCATCTTACTGAAACTACCTCTCGTTTATTGCTGTCATCTGCAATCGCGTCGTCTAATGTAACTAATAATTCATCAGTCAATGGTCATTCTATCACTGATGAATGTCCTATGCTTGTAGCTGTGAAGACATTCACACCTAATGAATTTGATGCTTGGAAAACAGAATTGGGCATTTTCAAGGCTATTCACTCGGTAAACAAACGATTTCCTTTTATCACTTCCCCCTTCTTTCTGCGCCAGCCACCACTACTCATTGCACAATTGGTGATGCGAATTCACAAAGTGTACAAAATATGAATCAAATGTTAAAGCATATTGGTCACCCTAACATTGTTTTGTTACTAGGAGCGGGATCAGTAAGTGATTCAATAATTTTTTATTCATATCAAATCAGTGAATTTTCATGTAAGACAATGGTTAAAGGATCTCTTTGACTTCACCTGAAACAGTATACTCAATAAAATATTTTAGTTCACCCAATCATAATTCTCTGAACTCAACACAGTAATGTATCAGCGAGATCCACTCTACTTGTTAACGATCTAGTCAGGCTGGTTCAACATGTACAGGCGAAAATAAGGCCGAATAAGAGATTGAAAAATAAAAACAGCGTGCAAATGGTAACGGAAATGCATCAGTCTGAATTGCTTTGAATTACCAAACCATTGCAGTTGAGAAGTGTATTTCTCTTATCCCATTCAGTTGTACTTTAGGCAGATGACTTTCGACCAATGGATCGCGGGTTCGAACCCCACTTCACATATCATGGTTTTTGCGGCTAGATAGTATCATTAACCCTCACAAAATAGGTGTGACTCATTGTCTACTGTATGACTGCGCATGAATGTGGTTTCTGAATTAGTGCCTTTCGATTCGAGCACTTTTAAGCAGTGATACAATAACTTATATTTAATTAAATGTATTGGTATTTCAGGTCTATCACTATACTCAGCAAAATAGATTGTTAGATATCACCTTTTAGTATATGAGTGGATAAAATACTTCATACATACTAAGAAGTTCATACTTAATCAATTCAGTAGTTTTTGACACATTAGTCTGAGATCAGCTATTTTTTTTTTAACTCACCAACTTCTTTCATCTTATATTATCAGTCTGTAGATGTAGTTTCACCTATCCATGACTTATACAAATTCGTTACCAGTTTATCTACGTACCTCGATTTGTGAACCACTTAGCTAACTGACTTGTAAAACACATTTGCCATTGATTACCACTGTTTCCTTGTTTTTTTTTTTAAATAACTGTTCTAACCTAAAAGTGCAAACAGACTGTTCCTCTGTCTCATTTTTGTTTTCTTTTATAATTAGTCTGTCATTCAACTTTTTTTTTCTTTTCAGAAAAAAAAGATTGTTTTTCATTTAACTCAAATACCCAAACTAATTATCACTTGTGCTACTACTTGACTATTCAGTTTTTTTAGAACTATTTTGATGCTACTTTGGCGTTTTTCTCAGAAAAAATTTCATCTTTTTTTGACGTTTTTTATCTCTGTGTCCATTAGTTCTTATTTTTAATCTTTTTTAAATCTGATAAAACTGTTCCTCTATTGTATTCTCCCCTTTTCTATGTCTCTCTTATAACAAATAAAGGATGGAACTAAACTCAGTGGTTATATATGGTAATAAATGATACTTAATCGTCTTGTTTTCATTATCTTTTACCCCTACCGACACTAATACTAACGCTTAATATGAAAATAGTGATGTGATACTTTTCTACGTGTTAATTTTTCCCTTACTGGGCAATTTGGATCTAAGTGTACTAGTAACTTTACAAACTCTAGTTCAAATGAGACAACCGGTTTGACCAACTGAGACACTACTATGATGAACCGTAGAATAATCCTGTTTCCAAAGTATACATGTACGCAGCATATAAGCATGTTGATACCTCTAATCTTCTATCATTTCAATAAAATTCTTATTTAGACATTCAATAGCCAATGGTCATGACTCATTGTATAGGGTGTATTTTTACTTGTGTAATCCCGGTATAGTATAGTAGAACAAATAACAAAATAAAAAAATATCTTGTATTATTCCTCAACGTTTCGATCTTGCTAGGAAGATCCTTTACAAGAGTATAAATCCAGTCCATTATTGGTTAGGATACCTTCAGATGATCATGACTGTTGGGGCTAGAAGGAAAATTGTACTTCTTGACCTTATCCCTCAGTTAACAACCACAAATAAATGTTCTCCAAATAAATGACTCTTTCAGTGTCTGATTTGTTGCACTTCCTTCTTCATGTAAATAATGGCAACTCTGAAACCAACTGAAAAAAAGTTAAGCATATTTCATTCATGTCAACTTATACATGTACCGAGCAAATATAAAAACTTAGCTAGACAGAAAGCGATCTTTTCAGATTACCATAAGGATTATCATATGATGAAACGATTACTATGTTCGTTTTTTGTAGCTCAGTTCTAAAAACCACTTGTCTTTCATTATCCCTAATTTGAATCTGACTTTGTGGTAGGCAACATAGATTGCTGTCCGTTACAGTTGGAGAAAATTATTATGAGATGGTGACATTTTTATGGTATATCTACTCCTACTCTTGATAATTTCTTTATCACTTTTGGTTGTTTGCTATAAATATACAGCTGAAAGATACATCTATGCCTCAGTATGTACATATGAGAAGCTGCTTCAAGCATTTTCTGATCTTAACAACAACTGTCATCCAATCGTAATTACTCTTATCAAATCTTATGGGTATGTTAAAACTTCAATGAGCAATTATTATTTCAGTTAAGTACACATCGACTCATTTCATGCAATATGCGAACTTGATTAGTTTATCTATACAATATCTGTCCTCTGGTACCGTTTTCTTGTGTTTTTTAAATCTGTATATTTTCGACCTTATGATACTGTGCTTTTTGTTCCCTTGACAAATATGAACAATGCAAGAACAAAAACATTTGCAGAATAAAATGAGCTCATTTTTATCTCACAGCCTCTCATCAACTGCAAACGGCATACAGTTGGTTTACGGTTTGCGGAAGCTCTTGTTATCAAACATTTCCAACCTAACCTATGTACTCAAAAAGAGACTGTAACTAACCTTTCTGTACCTTAGTAACCGTATATAATTTTGCATGTGTATATAAATAGTCTGATTGGAAAGGCAAGACAGGCTTTCATTAATCTGAAATCAGTGTGGAGCTCTACTGCACTCCTCTCAGCACGAAGAACAAGATACGGATTTTCAACACCAACGTCAAGTCAATGCTTCTATATGGTTTAGGAACTTGGCGCGTCACGAAAAGCACTTCCAACAAACTACAGATATTCATCAACAGCTACCGCCTACGCTCACTCGATACTGGAAATGCAGATCAGATGGCCAGAAAGAATAAGCAACAAGGAACTGTGGTAACGAATTAACCAAGAACCTAACCCAACAAATATGCAGAAGAAGAAAGTGGAGATGGATTGGATAGGGCATACACTGAGAAGGTGGATTGTGGACATCACGCGCCAGGCCAGACTCTCGGGTAGAATCCAAATGGAAAACGACGAGTTAGGCGTCCGAGGCTAGGTTGATATGGAGGGGATAGTGTGAGGATGAAATGAAAGCTTGTGGGCAGTCGTGGAGCCAGGTTCAAAAGACTGCAGAGAACAGAGTGAAATGGTAACGTGTTACTGAAGCCTTATGTTCCACTAGGAACCCGAGAGGCAAATGATAATAATAACAATAATAATGTATATAATCTTCCTTTTTCTTTTGATTGCATCATCTCTTCACTAATTTTCTACTAACTATTAATCACTTAACGATTTCCAAGTTTTTATTTAATTACGTAACCTGTTAGCTCTTTAAACGGTCCCTTCTTTTACACTGATTTTCGTTTGTTGTCCACCCCCACTCCACAGCTCCAGAATTTTCTATCTCATCAGATATAAATAGCCATTGATTTTGACTATGATTTGTAACTATTAATTCTGTGTTTTCTTGACTTTACTACCTTATTGTTAATCCTAGATTTTAAATCTTCATCTGTTTCTACGTGTTTAAAGTATGTTACGTCATTATTACTACTAATAATTCATTTCAATTGTAAGCTATTTGTAAGTGATGAAAAGGCATGAGATAAAATGCGCTCATTTTATTCTACAAATGCTTTTGTTCTTGCATTGTTCAAACTGTGCTTTTTTCTTCGTTAATGTGTTCATTCAGTCAATATTAAAGTAGCTTTTGATTTTGCTGAAATTTTTTATCACTTTAAACGTGAGTGTCGAATATATCTCCATTCATTTCAGGTTATGTAATATAGGCTGTTTTTGACTGGTTGTGAAATAAGCATACTTCAAATCTATTGAATAAAGTTAAATATGGTTAAAATGTGTTAATGGCTTGTTTCTGTCTGTCTGCATGCATGATATTTTGAGATAATTACCATTAGGCTTCCAAGTTGTGCTTCATATTTATCGTCTCTGGTCAGAATCATCAAGATTACCATTTCTTCACAGAGAGACTCATCTAGTCATACAGATAGAAGCATTACTGCTGTGTTATTTTAACCGTGAAAAATACCTTTACAACCTGATCGCATGTACAATTTACCGTACATAGAATAAACTGGGCCCTGAACAACTTATTAGATTGAATCAGCTTTGACTATCTGAGAGTAGATAGCAAGTGGACTCTTGTAATTAAGTTTTGGGAAGTACTAGAATGTAAATCTTGTCCTCAAAAGAGAAGGATTTTCAAATATCTTCTTGCTAAGTTTTTTGATGATATTCTCGTTTCTTTTTCTTTTTTTTGTGACAAATAATATCTAAAATAACAATTTTCTATATATTTTTCCTTTGGTCTGCGCTAACAACGCTTTAAAAAGGTACAGCTTTGTCAACCGTTAGTAACTGAATATCGTCTAGTGATGGAATTTACTGCAGGTGGTTCACTACGTCAACTTCTATCAAGCGGAAGTTGGCTATCATTTAGCCATGTATTGAAAATCTCTGATGATATTGTCCAAGGATTGGGATTTCTGCATAGTGATTTAGTGAATAGAAAAACAAATGAATGGCCGTACTTATATTTGTCCTAAATATCCAGTGGCTCATCGTGATTTGAAACCAGAAAATATCTTGATACGATTTGATGGTAGTGTTTGCCTATCAGATTTTGGACAATCTGTATGCTTAACAGAAATTTCGCCTAGTAGTCCTGTATCAAATAATTCCTGTAGGACTTCATCACAGGATGTACTAACTACCACCTATTCAGTTAGTTCAGCATTGGAGTCTATGCCAAAGGTAAAACAAATTTTTCAACTTCATTTCACTTGTATTCATCTCAATAATGTTTACCTTGAGTCGATTTTTTATAACTGAAAGTTTTATATATTGCGTTAAACTTCAGAAGTCTTTACCTCCAAACCGTTGCAAAGTTTGATTGTCGAAGCAGCTTTGATATACGTCATCAGTATCTAGCTTATGGGACAAACTTTGTGGACGTGAGGACAAATACTTAGTGATGACATTGGGCGATGGTCGCGCTATGTTGTAAACTGACAGAAGCTGGTAATTCGGACCACTGGATTCTGACCCAGTAGCTCAGTGGTAACTTGCTAGCCACGAAACTTGAAGATCCTAGGTTTGGATCCCTTGGAGGGGGGATTCATGGATGCATACTTCTGAGGAGTCCCATACTGGGATGAAATAGCTGTCCAGTATTCTCAATTTTCCAATGTTTCTCCAACTGATGTCAGTTTATGATAAATGCCAACTTGGAGTTAGTAAATCTCCACAACTCCCCAATCTGAACTATTTACTTTTCCTAAGATATGTTTATTTCTAACTATTCGAAATGTGCTGAGAACTGTTATCAATAATTTTAGCTGCGACTTTAAAATTATGTAACAATAGAAAAATATACTTCATATATGTTCATCAACTCACTGTGTAGTATTCAGTACAATACGTACTTGTCCTGATCTCAACCATCGTTAAAATCATTTTTGGCACTGAATGAATCTCACACTGTAGTTCGTTAGATGAAGTTACAACAGGAGACTTGAAAAAACCTATAATATGACTAGTCACATGTCCGATATATATTGTTAAGTGGAAAGTAAATACATGAGCACTATGGTTATTACTCTCTCTCTCTCTCTCTCGATAAATTAAACAATTTATTACATACCTCAAACTGGTAATGAGCAACTTTGATGACTTTTATAGTAGTTCAACTTTACTACTCCAGCATTGATCGAATTTCTGTAGTCTACATTTAAAGGTTAGGTGGATAGCGTGCTATCACGGTGAGTACTAGTCACTTGACAGATAGTGTTTATACAGTGTAAATTGATGGATTTGAATAGCATTTCTTTTGTACTCGATAAGATTTCTCTCTGTAACGATTAAATCATGGTGACTATAATCTGTTGATAAGCAATTTTCCTTGAATAACATAGCAGTGATGTATTTTTATTATTTTCTTTCTTGATAGGCTGGTACGTTAAGATATCAAGCCCCAGAAATTATTGATGGAGCTATTTCTTTCACTGGTTGGGCTCTATTACGTACAGATATATATTCCTTAGGATTAATTCTATGGGAATTGCTCACAGCTGTTTGCTTACCTGTTGTATGTGAAAAGACACTTGAAGAAGATTATGATGTCGACAAACTTGACTTGAAATTGATCGAACCTGTTCTTAGCATCAACTCTTCAGTTGGCTCAGATTTGTATATGATGAATGATTTACACTCTGAACTTGATCATTTAAACTATGAAACCAATACAGTGAACGTGAATTATCATACACCAGAACATAGAAAAATGAAAAAACGGCATCATTGGCTACCTTATGAAAAGGAATTGGGATCATTTTGTAATTCATCTGCTGCTTTGCAACAGTTAGTTTGTGTAGAAAAATATCGTCCAACAAGTCATCCATTGTGGTGTAATTCATCCGTAAGTTGTTTATTTTATTTGTTTTGAATTGTAAAATTTTGTGTTTAACGTCTTAAACTATCCGTGATCTGCTTAATAGGAATGGCTACCCAGACAAGTTTGTAACTAAGCGCATGAATATTACGAGGGTTAAGACAACAATGCCAACAGTTCCTAAGAAGCAAGTCTTCTTGAAGCTGCAATTTAAGTGATATTGCCAGTGAGATCATCACACAACGCACAAAAAGAGTCTTGCATAAAGCATTCCCAGCCGCTAAATTATGTCCCGCCTTCTACAACCGCCCGATTCTAGGTGCAAGAAATAAAGACAAACTGCCTGATTCTGCCACTTCTGTGTGCATTTATCAATTCAACTGCTCCTATGGAGCGAGTTACATTGGGCGTACAATGAGGCAGTTCCATCGTCGAACTTCTGAGCACCACCCATCATGGTTTAACAAGGGACAAATTAGAACTTTAAAGAGCTCCATACTTGCACAATTAGTTGACAGGACATGAAGTGGTTACTGGAAAAGTCTTCAAAATTATCCATCAGATTCCAATTAATTTACCTCATGGATTACGCACTCGCTTACTTCACATAGCAGAGGCGATTGCAATCCACCTTTAAAAAACTTAGCCTTTGTATCCAAAAGAAGTTTGTTCGACCTCTTTCATTATCGTGGCCTTCAACATGATGTAACTTCTAGGTTTACTTTGTACACCTCTTCCCCTTCTTGTTTCTATCAATATTCACATTTCCTATTTTAGTAACTCTATTGATTATTTACATCATTACTTCCGAAACACCACGTGATTGGTAATTTGATTAAATTGTAAACCTTATATATCAGTGTAGAGCCCAAGATGAAGACCTCAATCAGTCTTTAACTATTGAAGTGTTAATTTCCGTGATAAATATGAGCAATTATCATTGTTATACTACTTGAAAATAGTTTAAAACATTAACTAACTGTTTCAGAAATTCCCATCCAATAAATTAGCACTGCTGCTCTTATTAATTTGTCTATCTGACCTATTGTCTGTGTACTCAATTCATATCTTCCCTTAATGAGTTCAGATGTATATCTGATTATCATATGCAATGCTCTAGCGTTTTCTGTCCTACTCATCTGTCAATCTTGACTAATGTAATTTCATTAAGCCTGTTAACTTTCCATGGTTAGTTATACATACTGGAAAGGGGTACTCTACCATACAGAAGACTAAGATACGGATGAATTTAAAAGTATTTTTGATTTAGTGTAGCTTATGAATAGGTTTTTCAGTCTTGATTCTTTTTTGTCAAGAAAAACGTTTCAATCATATTTTCTGAGTACAACTTTTTTCTCTTCTCTTTACGAATTTTAGCTGATTACTCACTTTCATCGGACAATCAGTGAATGCTGGGATCATGATCCAGAAGCACGTCTTACAGCTGATTGTATTTTAAAGCGTATCCGTTCATTAAACACTCAATTGGCTAGATCGAAAAACTCAGCCTAAAAATACATTGATAATTTTAATTATACCTCAGGATTTATAGATTGGTAAAGTCAGGAATAATCTCTTCATCAAATGAAGTTGTCTTCTTTCCATACACTTACTTATATACACATACCGACGTCTATATATCTATCTCATGAAAATATGTCATCATCTCTTGAATTACTTCACTACTTCATTTTCCTCAGCATTCAATATTCATTCCATATATTAGGACATTGTAGTTAAATTTCTTCTTTTAATCAGGACGAAGACATTCCTTGTTCTTCTCCCAGCCCGCTCCCCCTTCCCTTTCATTATTTTCCTCTTGTTCACTTTGCACAGTACATATTGGTCTGTGGTATATAGTTCCAATTATACAGCAAAACTAAAGTTAACACTACCTCTCGTGTAAATTTATCTTCGCGAATAGTACTATTATTAGTATTACTGTTACTACTGTTAATAATTACTTATTTTAATCAGCTGTTCAGGGCGTTAGCGTCTACTTTTCCGCATACCGTTGTACACATTTATCAACCCATATATATATATATATATATATATATATATATATATATATATATATATATATATAGCTGCATCGTCAATCTCAGGGTTTATTCGATGCGCTGTACGATGTAATTTGTTGTTTTATTATTGCGTGCTCCAATGTTTCTTTCTTATCCTTTTATTCTGCCTTTTTAAAATATTATGATTTGATCCCTTCTTACTTCCTTGTGCTTTATCCAAGTTTCATTGATTGTAACCAGACTTCTAGTCAATGTGTATGCGTATACAATATGCACATAGTAATTATGACATACAAGAGGAGGACTTTATACGTATATATATACATATAACCTGTTATGGTCGTTACTTGCTTATGCTTCATTTGTGAATATTTTATCTTTATTATTGCTTATTTATCTCAGTTTACAAAAAAGAAATGAATCTTAAAGTTATACGCAATCTTCCGTCAATTTATGCCGGGTAATTGCATTTTTATTTTAGTTTTAATCCACTTGGTTTATGGGAACTGGGATACACAATCACAGAACCCTTGAAGAGCATTTAATCACAGACCAGTATATAAATAGATATGTGAACATAATTCTTCTCATGTCATATAATGATTATAATAATGATCAATAATAATTTATAACAGACCCATGAGAAAAAAAAAAACTTTTTGTTCATTCTGATATTTTGGATTAGTTATTTGTAGTTGGCTCAAAGTGCACATCCACCTCGGTTACTGATGAATAATAGGTAGGTTTATCACTTTATCTTTTATCTGTTCATTTTGCTAAAATGAACTGATTGAGATTTTAATGACAGATATTGTGAAGGTGGAATTTGTTGTACTCGGCTTCCACTGGAAACTCTAATGCCGTTTTGAAATGATAAATATTCGCCAGTAGGAAATATGGTTTTGACTCCTTTGTAGGCTGTAACCAAGTAGTTAATGCTTTACAATTCTCATTCAGAAGCCTAACTGTAAATCTCAAGTTCCTTATGTAGTTGAAACTCAGTACTTTTTGAAACAGTCATACATCCGATTGATGCCTTATGTTTTTGAATTGTTTATCGACTAATATCAGCCTATGACAGCAGCTTCTGGTGGAATACTTATCCCCCTGGAGTCCTACTGTGTTAGAAAGGTCCTTTTGGTAGCGGTGAGACAGAAAGCAGTTACTGTTATAATGGTGTCTTGTGATAGAAGTTCGAGTCCTACTACATACAGACTAGGTAGGGTGTGACAGCAGTAGGGTGTTGTTCATGAAAAACCAGCACTACCATACTAGTGCCATCTTCCCTACGCGAAGCGGGGTTAGAGACGGTCGGCCCACAAAACAGCACACTCCTTCCTGCCCTGTGGTATTTTGGTGAGTGTGTTATGGCTTCTCCTTATCCAGCGTTAGCATGATCACTTCTCAATTCAATAATCGTAAGAAGGCCCTGGGTTACTAGCCTCAGGCAGATATCTCATGGGATCTACGGTCACGAGAAAACTTATCCCTTTTCTTTTTCAGATACCTTGCAAAAACAACTCCCATAGTATGGGCAGACAACCACTTGAACGCTTCCAGCAGTATACAGGCTGTGGTGGTTGTTAAAATGAGAAACCGTAGAATCTGCATACTGATACTTTAATTGATCAACGTAGTTTTTGTTGAGCAATTATTTGGATACAATATTGTTATTTAACTTTGGTTATAAACTTCTTTTTAATTCAGCAATTGTTGTTGTATACTTATTTTTGTACTGTTTGTAGTTCACTATAGTTTATACCTTTCAAATGCTTGTCATAATTGTAAACAAATTGTAACCTTAACTTTTGTCTATGAGACATATAGAATGGTAGTCAGTATTTCGTAAAGTTTCGTAAACTCTTACGTTTTTTTCTTCAGTTTTCTTAATATTTCTAACTGTTTTTTTATTAAAAATAAGTGAAGGCCTAGTCTAATAACACTAAGGTGTACAGAATTGTTTTGTAATGTATTTTTTATGCAGCTTACTAGGTTAATCAATACTGTTAACACTATTGTATTAACGAATTCTATTTTATAACTGTAGAACCTGAAGGAAAGTTATTGAGATGAATAGTCTTCATCCATGTTTGGTTTTTGATAGTGTTATTACTGAGATGAAAAGGATGATTAAGTGGATGGATTATAGACATGTAATGATAAGTGATGGAAGCCTATTAGTTGCAATACAGTAGATATGCATAACCCATCGAAGCTGATGTTGTAAAACTACCCCATTCATTAGAGGATGACCTCCATTCTACCGAGATATATGCTATCGATCTCTGGAAGTACTGATATAGTATTATCAAGTGATACGAATAGTCGTATACAGATAGCGGTCTTTGAAGATGTAGAGCTAGCTGTCCAACATCATCATCTGAAGGTCTAGTCACATTGAAAAGCGTTGCACAGTACTTTTATACTACCAACCTAGTATTACAGTGATCGGAAAATTGTATGCCCACAGATATTAACTATTACTAACTCTTCTCAGCTGTTGAGTCCATCATGACGAAAAGGAATATCTGTAAGTCAGCTTTATTGAGCGTTATAATTGAAAATATACAGTGGAAACAGATTTACATTGATTCATTTTTTTTACAGTGTCATCATTGACAGTTTTTGATTTCAATCTTCAAATTTATGCCTTTACTTACTTCTTATTCTTTTCTGATTGATGAATTCTTCAGATTTCATACATCAAGCATGTGTGGAGGATTAGTGAACATCTCATTCACTGAGAATTGAAAAATTTCACATGATTCATACTGATTGTTTTGATGAAGCTGAGTTCATGTCCCTTTATCGTATATTTGGTTGTTAATTTTTACCACCTTTTAAAACTCATCACTATAATGCTAACTGGTTCCTGTTTTCCGTAATAGATTAAGTAGAAAGAGACATTGATTTCTGAATCTTTATTCATTAAGTCACTGTCTAACATCAGTGAATTCTCCGTCGCTTATTACAACAATTTGAAAAATCTTACTGCTACTAAAAAAAAATCGCATTCAGAAGCGGTTAGATTGGTTTGTAAAAATACGAAAGTTGTATAATTACTTAAATTTGACTATGATCAATAAATTGCTCCAGAAAAATGATTCGATAAATAAAACTACTAACATGTTCTGTATCAAACAACTTAATCTAGTCTGGAGTTTTATTCTACTACACTAACTAGATTTTATACGTACCTGGAGTTTTATTGTAAAGGCCACCTTAAAGACTGCAGAAATTATCTTTCAGATCTTTGTATTTCATTGGAAACTAAATCGTTAGCAAAAATAACAGGACCTATTTGATTGTTTCAGTAGCTTATTGCATGACGTTTGGAGTCACTGCCTATATGAAGGGTTTCTGCCTGACACAAAATGAAATACTTTGAAATTACTACGATTGGATATGAATCACACTGATATGTTAATATCAAACGACTTATTAAAGTGTCGAATGGCAAGAGATATGTTAAGAGTTACTCAGCAGGAAACTCTAAACCCTGACTGCCTTTAAATTTGCGACCTGTCAGCAAGGCGCATCTACACTCATTATCATTGACTGGTAAAGTTAGGAACTTTACAACTAAGCCATTCAGATCATAAATGACCCCTGCAAGACTTGATCACTTACATAAATTGGTTGCCAGTAGGAACCGATGCAGCCGTCAAGCGCTTGATCGATTGACTTTGGTTAAAGTTAAGTAGTAAGATCTGGACAGCTGTGTAACGACCACCTCTTGATAGCTTTCTGTCTAGCTTGTTACAAGAGGTGCGTAGAGGAGTGTGAGTTTACTGGTGACCACGAGAATCTGGAAGGGAAAGAGGAAGAGAGAAACGTAAGTCAGCAACTCAATAAGTACATAGAATATAATGATAATAAAAGATGATTGACAGACGGTAGAGCTTGACAACGAAGAGATGAAGGAGTCTAGCAATCGAAACTAAAGAGTCAATAAGTAAGGTTTCGAACGCGTTGCAGATATATCGGTTACCGTTCGGTGACTGATTTGCCGAAAACGGATATTTAAAATGTATATAAACGAGTGTGTTTTCAAACCATGGAACTGTGATTCTTTCTGTTTCAGCTACTCATCAGTCAGAAATGAAGGATTGGAATAGTTGAAAGCTATGGCTTTCTTAAAAGAAACTAGTTTTATATGCAGTAAGTTGTGGTGAATACTTGCCTGAAGTACACACAACAAAAAGAGGATAAAATAGAATTTTCTTATAACACAGTGTTTGATTTTCATCAAGTTTCTTGGTGAAGTCTATCATCTAAAAAGAGTGAAAATATCTATTTTCTCATTCTTATGATATAAACGAAAACAAAATCACCTAACTTATCGATATTTTTTTGTCAAAAATATCTCCATGAAACTAACACTTAATTGATTACTGAAAGGTATTCCTTACCGATAAAATTCTGCATTTTTAATCATTGTAAAAATGTTCATTCAAGTTACTGTCCTATGGAAAAATCTTCTAAAAT